TGTCAAGCTCACTATAAATTAGTTTCATTCATAATTTTGTTTTTTTTAGAGAATTTACTACGTAAAATCATGCAATTTTTAAATCAATATTTCAGTTTGTTTAAGAATTAATGTCTGATAGATGATTTTTAGGAAATGACGTGCTGGTGTCAATTCCATTGTCAATTTTCAGCGGATATGAATTTGCTCATGACATGGACACTGTGATTAAATTTCAATGTAACTCTTTTCAAAAAACGTACCAGGAGTTCTCTGCCCGCCTTACGGGATAACGAATGTTGTTAATTGGATCTGCTTTGATTCTCTCTCTCCATATCCCGGAACAAAATATCTGAGGGTGTAAACGTTTTTGTCAAGATTTTCATCATATCACGCATTTTAAATGTGTAATGGTATTCTTCTCACTGAGGGGACGACGTGTGTTACAATATTAGATTAACATGTAAAGATTGTATAATTATGTAAATCAAGGACTGTAGATCTTAATCAGATTATACTTCATTAAACATATCCCATTAAGCCTTCTCCTTGATTTAACGCTCATCGTGTATGATCGAAAGTTCACCTTTGCCTTTGGGAACTTATAAAAACCAACAGGTGGCAGGGGCATTGACAAAGTGTGAAACATTATAATTTCCGTATGCTTTATTGTTATTTCCCTAACAAAAAAGGATTAACCTTCTAAATAAGAATGAAACGTTAAGTTCCTTTATACATATTAAATTTACACCTGAACTTGATTTTATGTAAATTGCCAGAGGCAGTTTTCATCGATACGACAAAATGAATTTAGTGAGTACTAGAACAAATTTACTTAATGGTGGGTATGTGGAAATGTTTATTACCAACATAAGGAGTGTTTTTTCTTTGTATATAGACTTTCTTACGCATTTCAGTCCAGGCGACTAATATGTCATTGATACCTACCCATGTATATTTAGGAAATTAATACCTATTTACAAATATCTCTTCCGCTAAGTATGCAAATTTTTTGCTTTGCCATCTAGTGTATGACATATGTAAGACGCTTTATCAGTCTTGGGTAAACATTTGAATTTCGGGTTAAGATTCAATACATGCTTTCTTCGGAACAAACAATCCATTTGCGAACATAGATGTAAGTTTGGTTAGTTATTAATTTGGATTTAGCTTGATTGACCGAGAGATTTAAAGGGCAAAGGCGTTTAGCACTGTGAAATTCACATGATTATCAGCATGCAAGGAATGACAGACACTTCCAATTGCTCTGTAATTCACGCTTGCTTTATATATATAAATTATATTACATGTAAGCTTCTTCAATGTAGAAGCATGGGTAGATTTCCAAAAAAATCATCAACATTTACATCATGAAAATAAACATAATTGCTTTCTTCATAATTGTTTTATTTTAATGAACTACAAAAATAGTTTATTTCATTGCAATTTTCAATTTAAAAAATGGTCATGGAATTCAGTGACATTTAATCACCTATATTTGCACCCGGATGCAAAAATAACTAAATATTTGTTGGTGGCAATGAAGACCTTACAGTAGAATTTTTAATAACGCACCAAGTAGAGCCTGGGTTTTTCTCTACAACCAAGAATGAAAATTAGAAAATTTCAATGTCCGAAGAAAGCACATTTTTAATTTCAATACATCAAAAAATCGTAGGTGTTTTGTTTGCTCTCAATAATCGTATCCGCATCCGCAATTGTGTAATTCCACAAAAATCTATTATCATGACCTTGCATCTTATCTCTTAGGAAATACACTTAGAATACATATATATATATATATATATATATATATATATATATATATATATATATATATATATATATATATATATATATATATATATATATATATATATATAAGTCTTTCTTTCAAGTCGTCTCTCAAATGAAAACACGCTGGTCTTAGCTTGATAACATTTTATAAATGGATGCACAACCGTTTGCATTCTTTGGGTTAAATCCATTCATAAAAGAATAAATGAACGATAAGCTATCACATTACACGGGGTGCAAAATTATTTCACTCCTGGGTAATTTACAATGTGTTGCTAGGGGGTCATGGTGCGTTAATTCTGAGAGTATTTCAAGCTTTAGGTTTAATTTTTCACATTTCCGTTTTATTAAAAAAAGATTAAAATTTCCAGTAAAATTATTTTAAATTGGTTTGTCACGCAACATTACAAGCAGGGTGATATAATCGCTGACTCACATTTGCCATTATTATGTCAATAAAAGATATTTTTAGAGTCCTAACAAAATTCGATTCAATGGAACTATTTGACAAAGGAAAAAGAGAATGCTCTTTAAAATTTTATTACGGTGAATTCAATAGTTGAGCTAATTTTAAAACCCCGCTCATTATGAAATACACTGAATATCTGTATTGAAAACAAATATTTTTGGTTAACACGTCCATTTAAGGATATCTCACAAAAGTAAATGAAACTGGAAATTTTCATTACTGCAGAGGATGCATGTATAGAAAATTTTTTCCTAATGAAAAAAGAAAAGAGATTCACAGTATTTGCAATAGCTTTACAAATTACATTAACAATTTTTGAAAATTACATTAACAATTTTTGAAAATTACATTAACAATTTTTGAAAATTACATTTACGACAATTTTAAAGAAAATTAGATTTACCAATTATATATATACTCTGTTCATATAACTGTTTAACTGCTCTAGTGTAGAACACATGAACTTCCATCTGTACCTATAATGCTCTCTGTCGTACATGTACATCACTAAATATTGATATGACACAAAAATATACTATTAAACTTGGCATTTAAGCTTGATAATTTAATATCTTTGTAAAATAAGAGGAGATCGTCATTAAATATCAAATTCTCCTTTAGTGTGAGGGAGGGAGTGGAGAGTCATTCGTGCATACAATGTATAATTGAAATAATTACTAAAGATTAAGATTTCTTTCTTATAGAAAAGATTTTATTGTCCTTTAAAAAGAGTGTTTTCTTTTTTTTTAAAAAAGACCGAATTTGTTAACATAAGTATTTGATATTTGGTTTTGATAAACTTGATGTTCTATAACAAAATACTTGAACCAACATTTTTACTTGATGGCAAGATTTTAAAAGAAAAAAAAATATCGAAGTAATCTACTCTGGGGTAAAATTATGGCGTGATTGAAAACTCGCTTCAAATATTATTTGCATAGGGATATTGAAATACGATATATGTCATGCCATAATTCATTTTTCATTGAATACAAGCTTTTTAGCCATTCTTTAATGAATCCATATACTCATCGAACCGTGACACAGAGCCAGTTCTCAGTCGCGAGCTTTCAAAAATTCTGATCGACACGAAATCGATGAATAATGAACACTTTGTTCAATTCGCATACTTGACACACATCAAATATATAGGAATGGTGGAATTCTCGATAGAAAAAAAGACAACTTTATCCTTTCATTTGTTTATTACCATGAAAATTAATGTCAAGTAGATATGTCATCAATAAATATATTTAAAAAACAAAGATTGTCTTTGTGTAAGTATACTATAATGTACGCCTCAATGGATTTCAATCGTATATTTTTTTTCTAAGTTTTGAAAGATTTTTTTGACTCTGGTAATATACAACATACCAAAATTATCTAGTTAATATCAGATAAATAACTGTTTGATCTAGCTAAACCATTAGAAATGGATTGCCCAAGGCGGACAAAAACAGTTTCCCTCTTCAATTATACTGTGAATTAAACTTCAAGTACAAACTAAATCTCTTGCACACACTATAATATACATGTATATCTGTAGTATCAAAATGTTACGTTGCAAATACTAAACATTGTCGAAATACACTGATACCCCCATTCCCCCTCCCCACCCCGAAGAGTTTCATTTTTATATGCAGGACCGATATAAAATTAAAAGTACGAAGTGTCGTTAATTGGTTAGGGACTAGTTTTGGGTAAATAAATCTGAGACCATTACTAACGTATTCTTCACATCTTGCCACTAGCTTGAAAACCTTATTCATTGACAATTGATCTCGAACAACCCTACAAACAATTCCTGATTATGATATTTGACAATATTTGTCCTCGCTAACGATGGAAATCGTTTTCATTCTATTTCAAATTAATCGATATTCATATACCATCAATAGCTCATTTTAAAGGATAATTTACTTTTCACCATAGATTAGAACTCTTGCAAAAATTCACAAAATGGAAATTTTTAGCAATCAATTCGCTAAACACTGTTGTTTTGACTTAATATGAAACCTAAACAACATTTGTTACGCCTGGCTGTTAGCGTACATGTATCTATAAACCCCTGGCCATTTGTGATATTCTTTTTTCTGTTTCAATGAGTACTCTTAACAACAAACAAAAGAAAATCTGAGTCAAATAATGTGTTTGTGTGCTACGGTCGATTGTAAAAAAAAATGATGGCACGTAAATGAAATTCATAAGGCATCCTTTAGAATATCAGAAATTTCATATCGCTTCATCTACAAAATATACAAGAAAAGTTCCCCAACATCGGGAGAAAATATCTCACTTTGTCGGTAGCTCTGTCACCGAGTTTGATTATGTCTGCATTTGATTAATATAATGGATAAACTAGCACTGTGAAAACTTACTGGGAGCTAGTTCGTCTGCCTTGGCGCTGTGCAAGGCATCAAGATTCCACGCAGTGTATTGCAAATTAGAAAAAAAAAGTTTAAGTAAATTTTCTTTATCAACTAACAGTGTATACAGAAATACTTATGCGATATGGGGCCCATGGTGGTAAATGATAGGTAAATCTTTTTGAAACTGATGACCCGTTTCATCTTTTTACAAAATTTTAACGACCAAATTAAAAGGGAACAGTTTAATGCGGAGTGGCATTAATTTTTTGTGGACATAAGAGATTTATTGATTTTTCACAAGTCGGAACAATCTATAACTAGTATTGATAGCCAAGAACAGTGATATAATTTCAGTAGAAATGAAAACATCATTCAACTCAACCAGCCTATGTAAACTATTCTGATTTGGATTACACACTTATATACATATATATCGGAAATCTGAACATAAAAAACATGCAAAACAAAATGAATCACAGCTCTTTGCAACGGTTTTGTTACCATTAATATCAGTGTTAACGAGTAAAGAAAATCGAGCACACCTTTGACCCCTTCAATCACTTTTATCACGTGTAACTAAAGAGGTGTGGCCTCTGCACATAAAGGTTCTTTGCAATCCCTCCTGTTCCCGTTTTCTATCGAATGCATGATATACTCCGATTTTGGAATTAAAGATTTGGTTGTTGACCTACTACTCTGTGCATAACTATTGCGTTTAGGTCTCACGCATTTACATGAATCGGGAAAGAGGATCTTTCGGAAAGCGTGCCTAAATTCTTTGTTAAAGATACTGTAAATGATTGGGTTTAAGCATGAGTTCACATATCCCAGCCAAGTTAAAATTTTAAACATCACTATAGGAACACACTTACAAAATGCTTCCACCAAATTCATCACAAAGAAAGGCATCCAACACAACAGAAAAACACCCATAATAATTCCTAAAGTCACGGCAGCTTTGTGGTCCTTGGACCCGGATCCCCCTCCTTTACCGCCGTTTGGCATGTGAAAACTTGTCTTGCGTATTTCCTTGACATGGCTTCGTGCGGCACAGTACAACTGCATATAAATAATAAGCATTATAATACAGGGTAAGTAAAAGCTAATGGTTGATGAAACTACAGAATACACAGGGTTGAGATCCATCAAACAAACGTTTTCTGGAATAGGTTTGTATCGGTCTTCCGCATTGCGATGCCATTGCAAGTGAATTGGTAAAAATGACAAGGTCAAGGACGAAATCCACACAGTGGATATGATGATGACCATCATTTTCTTAGTCATGAAAGTTTTATATTTGTATGGATCTTTTATGTGAATGTATCTGTCCAGACTTATGGCGCACAAATTTAAGATGGATGCTGTAGAGCAGTTAATATCGGAAGAAATCCAAATGTTACAGAAGACAGGTCCAAAAACCCACTTGTTTAAAATGTCGTTGACGACTGCAAATGTCATAACTAACAAGGCCATTAGCAGATCAGCTATAGCTAAAGAGACTATGAAAGCATATGTCCGATGTCTGAGTCTTCTATCCTTAAACACAGCCACACACACGAGCACATTTCCAAAAACAGCCGCAAAAATGAACAGAGACAAAATTGTCCCTATTATGATGCTCTCTGCTAGAGTATAGGCCTCTCCAGTGGCCTCTTCCTTCTGTAACGACTCCGTGATGTTGTTTATGCTAGTAACATTGCTCAGCAATTCGTAAGATACAGCAACGGTTGTTGAATTCAAGTTAAACGAAGTAAAATTTGTTACCATATTCAATCAAAGAATTGAAACACGACGTCTCCTGGTTTGGCATTGGCAATTGCACACTCACTTGATTAAATTCTTGAGCAAACATTGAAGAATTCAGCCCATTCCCTGCAATGTTCCGGTCCTTTTGGTCTATACTGTTTGGCACCGGTAGAATACGCCGTTAAGCTTTTGTTCCCCTTCTTCTTCAAGTGTTAGTTTGGCAAACATTTAGCGACTTTAGATCGATCCCGAGTTTTCGTTTTGCGAGAAGTTTGGAACAAACACTTCTGTGTATATTCGATAAATATCCTTTAACTTACATACCAAGTTTAATATTCACAACCTTTGGCGTTGTCAAATATGCATATGCATAGAAAAACAGTCTCACTTTTTTTTTTACATCCAAAATAGATGAAGAATTCCTTCTAACTGGATTTTGTTTATTTTTTAAGTTAATTAAACACCTGTATAATTTTACTTCTTCCACACACGGATATTAAACATCGTATGATCCAGGTTAAAAATAAAACAGCACATTTAAATCACAGTGAATGAAAACGTTCTCATTTTTCTTTATATTTTCATTTACACTTAAATCTTAAAGAAAAATTCATCCTAAGTAACGCTAGTTGTCCGCTGCTTGTAAGGAGAATGAAATGATATCTCTCCCTTCGTGTCTAAAAATAATGAGAATTTAATCCGTTTCATCAACAATCTAACGTGATTCTTTTTCATTCCACTGAATTGTAAAGTTTTCTTAAGCGTTTACCTGTTTTCTCACACACAACAAATTATTATTTGAACTTGTGCTGTTTACCTACACCCTCTAGGCCTTTCCGCGCATGCTCAGTTCAAACAGACAAATAGCAGCATAACTTATTGTGCCGAAGTCCGTCCTTCCCTGTTTTTCTTTATAGATTCCGATGTCGAATTGAATCGCGGGCAATCACAAGCTATAGGAGAAAGAAAAGCAGTGCAGTACTGGTCTGCTGTGATACATCAATGCCTTACAAATCGTTAAAGGGGCAGATGGCGCATTGGAGTGTATGCAAGAGGACGGAAAATCAACATGTCTTGGGACAAATTAGCATTATTTATAGCGTAAATAATTGATGTTTTATTCATGTTTATTCAATCTCAATTCATATTCTAATAATAAGTGTCTCATAAGCTAGGATCGGAAAAAGGAAGTACCTCATAAATAAATGTTCTACGGATGATTCCGGGGAATGGAATCAATGCATTCTTGTGTGCTATAAATAGAAGAAAAAACTGTTACAGATACATGAACTTCCTCATAAATCAGATTTAATTTCCTTAATTTGTTGATAATGTAATATTATTAATTTGATTAATCCCGTGTTCCTCCTTTTCACAATATCTTTCCGACATTTCTTGGTATGCGGATTCAGCCACTTTAAAGGATTTTCAGGTGACATACACAAAATTGCTTCTACATGTCCGATGATCGAATCTGTCAATAGTAGACCCAGATACTTTGTGTGCACAACGCTGTCAATTTTGTTCTGTGATACTGGGGTCCTACCATCCTGGTACACAAATTTCAATTAAGGAATAAAACGACTATTATGAGTCGGTTGAAAAGAAGTGCTTTTCAATTATGTCGTTGTATTTAAGATGGCCAGCATGTGTATTTGCTTTCAAAGCGGGACTTTATCTTTCTTAACAACTGCAAAATGGCTGACAATCTTGGTAGGCTGTCCGCTTATTTCCTTTAAGTTAAATAAAATCCAGATAAGATCTTCTGTTTAAAATCACTATTGATTTTTTTTAAGACTAGACTGATCGGCAATTAAAGATGTTCAATTCTATTACATTTCATAAGGATATTCTATTATTCTCAGATATGCGGGACATTTTTTGCAAAACTGTATACCATTGAAAAAAAATTGATGAAACTTTAACGAGTAAGATTATCTCAGAACACAAAATCATTGCGTTTTGTTCTCAGATTACAGCCATCTATCGCTAACTTGATAAATATTTATGTTACAGAATACACTGTATTAATTATATTTAAATTACATAAAGACTCGACACAGTGATAAATTTCTCATAAACAATCGACATCACAGAACCACGGATGACTGCTTTAGCAGCCATTACTTTCATGCAACATGCTTGTAATATAAATGCATGTTATTGCATGCTGTTTTAACACATTTGTTTTTGTGCGTCCCATTTTCTCCAAAGAATCTCCTGCATTCCATGAATCACTCACAATAAAATTAAGAAGTTCTGCAACGTTTTACAGTCATTGTATTTCAGCAATTAAGACAGAGATCGATATGTTTTCAATTTTGAGTGACCACAATGACTTAATGACTATTTTTTCTTTTATAATGTCGGCAAGTCAAAGAAAATTGATTTTTTTTAGCAACCTACTATCTGATTATACTATTTTCTGCAAATGTAGACAAAGTAAAACATTTATGGAGCATGTAATCCGAAAATTGTTTAAAATGATCGATCTAAGATGTTTTAAAACTGCTGAAATGGTTGATCCAATTTCATCCATTTTTGGTAAAATGCATATAAAGCTACATGTGCTTAAGAATAAGCTTAACAATATAGATATTGTTTGCTGATCTCCAGGGACACGAGAGATGGGGTAAAAGTCATAAATAATCATGCATTATTAAAATACCTTACCTTTAGATAGGATACAAATTGTTTGTATGATTGGAATAAGCAATATGAAATAAGAAAAACATCAAATTTCCCGCAGTTTCTTACAGTAACTACTAGGTTAAGAGTTTAAGCATAGCCTGAAATCAGCACTGAGTTGATGATTGATTAAATATATTAACTCTAGGTAACCTTCTTTATTTATAATAAATAATTAGTTGTTCTCTTTCAAATATTTAAAATCCATGACCATTGGGTCCACTCTAATGCAGATCGCAGAATAGGGTTTTAAGAGACCTTTGTGAAAGCAGACATGTTTTGGCACAATGCTCATGATTCCTCCTCTACTCTTTCTCTCATACATGTATATCCCCCTGATTCGATGGTCATGTTGGATCAAGATTATCATATATGAAGAATGCAATAAGAGAGAGATTACTTCTCGACATCTTACTGAAAACCCTTTTGTATTATAAACATGTATAATAATAAATTCTAAAATTCTTGTCCCTTGAATTAGGGATTTAAGGCCTTAAAGAGAACAGCAATGTCTACAAAATATTATTTTAAAAAAACTGTCCTTCAAACTATTCCAAAATGCCTGCTATTCAAATAAAGGTTAAAAAAAGCTGCCAACATTATGTGTGAATCTGTTCCTCAAACTCTGGATAATAGAACCAGAAAGTGCAGAAATGTTAAATAAAAAATTCTGACAAATCATGCAAAGGTTACATATGCCCTATATTTATCTCAAAGCCATTATCCAAGGTCATCTCGACAAGGGTAAGGTCATTGAAAAGAAAATATCAAATTCTGGAGAAATACTTAACAAACATGCAATTCGAACATGGGCCTTGAGGGTCACTCGGACAGTAGAGTATGCTGAGTTTCTTGGGCTATAACAATTGGAGGCACATGGAAATGAAACACTAGAGTCATATAATAAAAAAAAAATACAGTTTAATGGGAATTCTGTAATCATTGTCATATGTAGCTTCTCTTCAGAAGTACATGGTTTGATAAACTTAAATATAACTAACTTTTATCAACCTTGGAGTCCTATCCATATTTTATCATCCTTACAGCCCGATCACTATACGCAGATGACATACATTTTATAATTTTTGTAGAGGACTAACTTCCTATTCTAATTTCGCAAATCATTTGTCTGCTAGATTTCTGTGAGTAATAAAGAAGATATTTAATATACATCAACTTAGAGCCTGTGCCATGGACCCAGGGTTATGAATTTTACAATTTTTTTAGAGGCTAAAAGTAAATTATTATCATTATCTGCTAGTAGATGACCACCATTAAAGAAAATTTCAAAAGCGATAAATATTTTCAATGAACATGTATGACCAACTAATCCCCTCCCAGTCGCATGGATTTTAATTAAAAGTTATAGTACTATATTGTATTTAATCAGTTTTTACTGCATTTCTCCATATAGGAAGGCAGCCTAGAATAACAAGGAACGTTTATGTTTATAATAATATTTCCGTCCACCTAATTGATAATAAAATCTTTACTATATAGCTTTCAAATTGTTTAAAAGCTTTGCTGGATGTAAAACTTGACGGGAAATATCACAAGTAGTTCTCGGTGAGCAACAGTGCACGACCAAGGCAATAAAAAGTCCTCAATTTTTGTAATGAATTAAGGATGTAAAATATACCTAAGAATATTTTCTCATAACAGTTAGTTGGGCGGATTACATTACCTACTGTGCTGGATTTTGTACGTCTTCAAGTCTGTAGGAACTATTTTATGCAAGTCGGTTAATTGCAAACAACGATATATCATTCTCGTATATTTTATTCTTCCAGAGCAATAAAACATACTAACAAATTTCATTTCCTGTGCAATTTGGGATGATCTTTATCCTGCTTTCTTGTCAATTTCTTCGTGTGGAGATTATCTGGTATAAAAGACATGACTAATGCTTTTAATTTACTGTGTCAATATGAACATGCAGGGATATCATCACATGAATGGTTTATCATGACTAATGTACTTAATAAGATTATTCAATAGTATGAAGATATAATGCAGTGATTTGTTTTATTTATTAACTTTTTACAAATGGTTCCAGACTTTTACAAGATACACGAAGAACAGGAAAACAATGGAAACTGTTTATGCGATACATTTGTTAATGAAAAAGATCCAACGTCTTTTGGATTGGAAGAGACATCTGTTTTAAATCCTGATTTCTAGAGAAACCTATACGATTGTGACTGTTTTTCACTTTTCCTAGGGTCTTATTGATGCCCAAGAATTGAAATCTGCTTCCGTTAGAAGTTACTACATGTATTTACATAGCCCTACTATTTCTCAAGTACATGAATAAAAAAGCAGTTTTAATGACCAACTGCACGAACCATGAAAATTGACAAATTTTCATGACGTCCTCTCCCTTCTTTAAGGTAAATCGAGGTTAGAAGATCATAGATAAGCAAAGTAAACGAAACAAAAAAAAAACATATTTCAATTAAAACAAACACTGATCGAGTAAATATAATGAATCTTCGAATCAAGAGGGAGAGAGAGCCTCTGACGTCACGATTTAAAGTCTGACTCCTATCATACGAAGATCGGCCTTGCGCGATGTATTCAGTTGACGTTTATTTTTGTTTGTTCCTTCTTTGTTAAACTTTTAAAGACACTAATCACTCATGCTATATACAAATATTTTGTAAGTGTAAGGGAAATTATTCGTCCGTTAAACATAGAATACAGGAAAAATACATGTCAAAACCATTACTTTGAAGTACAGTGTACATTAATTTTACAGGTCCATGTTAGATTGAAACTAAAGTGTATATTGGCTTAATAGGACATTGTTATGAGGAATTTACATGTATTATTTGGTACGACTCGCACTGCAGTTATTTCAGTTCTAGGGAAAGCAGCGTTTCCTTGTACAATGTAAATTCAAAATTAATTGTATAAAGTATATAGCATTTTTTGTGTTTGATATAATAGCCAACCTAAGGGTACGTAATAGAAATGAGTCCGGTTCAAGAATTATCAAGTGGTTCACATTTGTTTACCATCCGCATAATCAGAAAATAAAAAAAAATCAATCCTAAAATACAGATTTTAAAAAAATAATTTGTCTCCAGTGTATATCCCTGTTCTGGTCTTAAGACCATAAACTTAGCTCAAACTTCAAATTATATCATTTTTGAAATAATTTTGAAAATAAAACATGTACAATTACAATGTTTTTAATTATATGTTTGTATTTGAATAGTATACAAACTTGCAACATTATAAATATTTTTGATAAATAAAATCCATTAGATCTAATATCTGACTTAAAATTTTCTCTGGTTATGGCCTTGGAGCCAGGTCCCTGGATCATGAAACCTTAAACTTTAGTCAAAATCTGTCTGTTACACACACTCGAGAGCTTATAGTATCAATGAATATATGTACAATGGTATCATTGGTCCCGGGA